CTGCGACAGGAGGTTTTGAAAAATGAAATTCACTGAGTTACATCACGTGCAAACAGAAGCTAAATATGTGATAAGCCTTTTTAGCATAAGGGGAATATGTTGAGTTTAATTAAAAACTAAATCTAAGTACTTATGCTAAATTAAATAGAGGTGCACGTTGAATAAGTGACGCGTGGTTTTGAAAATGCAAAATGTGTTTAGTTTAAATAAGAAATAAATCGGGTTCCTAACCTAAGTGCGAAGTGAATATGTGACACGGGATTTTGAAAAAAAAAAAAAAAAAAAAAAAAAAAAAAAAAACGGAAAACATTGAGTTTAACCAAGAATTAAATTGTGTACCTTGTAACGTTAATCCTACGTTATCTAATAGTTAATTTTTTGTTAAAGTTACTTTCCTGTTCATTCTTAATTCCAGCTTACATCTTCCGGCCAGAACGTATTTTCAGAAACGCGGTCAAATGCAAATGAGGAGAAGAAGTATTTAACTTTGAAGTTCTACTGACTTCATTAGAGAGATATTCTGAGCAGCGCGCGTTCGCCTTTTAGGCTACTTTCTATCTCTTAAGCTATTTTTACGCTCGGCCGCACTTTAGGCCCTTGATAGCTTCGCCGTTAGTTAGCGTTAAGGGGCAAAATCTGTTAAAATCTTGATAGCTTCGGCTATATCTGTTTAGTTAAGTTTTATTTCTTAGCAATCCCGAGTTCATGCCCAAGTATAGGCTTCATTTTCAACTCCAGGAAGGAGTCTTCTGTAAAATTTATTTTCAATAATAAAGGGTATTTAACTCTTCTTGCGTTTCTTCTCTGTTCACTGAACTAAGCGATTATTCGCTTACCAGTTCTTAAGGTTCTTCATTTTCAGCTTTAACTTAAAGGCAGGAATCTTACAACCTACACCAGTGTAAGTAGAGGTGCAAAGCGTATATGTGATATGTGCTTTTGAAAATACTGAGTTTATACCTTTTATTAAAAATCGTTCGATTTTGTTTAGTTTATAATGTATTTCTCCAGCATTCCTAGCGAGCCTTCATGGTGTAGTGGTCTGTACGCTGAGCGCTTAATTGAGAGGTCCTCGGTTCGATTCACGGCGAAGGCGTTGCATATTTTTCTTCTCTCCTGCTTCCGAAATAAACCTAATGTCTCTACAATGGCATCCTAACTAAAAGGGTGCTGGATGATGAATCTCCTCACCCAGGATTTGGCGACTGGTGCCCTAAAAACCCCGATCGCCCTTTAAAAGGGGGGAGTATATAAGGCATTTCTCCCGCGTTCTTAGCGAGCCTTCGTGATGTAGTAGTCTGCACGCTCAGCGCTTAATTGTGAGGTCCGCAGTTCCATTCCAGGTGAAAGCGTTGCTAATTTTTCGTCTTGCCTGCTTCCAAATAATCTTAATGTCTCTACAAGTTTAGTTTATACGATTACGGCAAAGCACTCGAGTTCTATCGCCCTAAGGAAAGAGACGGCTTCATGGAGGACTTTCTTAGGGAAACTTGCTCGTATACACGTTACACATGGGTACAACCACGGAATCACCCATGCAGCCAGGCAGTTCGCGGGATTGGAACTTCCTACCGAACTACCAATTTTTAATGAATTTACCGCTCGGCCATTCGTGGGCTTTCGTTCAGTTACTTTCAAACGGGACATTTAAGTCCCAATTTCAAATGAAAAGAAAAAAAAAGCAATGAAAAATGTATAACATTTTTGTAAGTTTAATAGGAGATGGCTCCCGTGTATAAAGAAATAAAATAAAAAAAGTTTCAATCTCTTTTTCAAAACATAAAGTAATTTGAGACATAAAGGGTTAAATAAGAACTTAACTTTAACTACTCATACCTGGTTAAGTATATATACAAAGAGACATCTTTTTTGAAAAGATGGAATATAATGAGTTATAAGTTGTTTCTCCCGCATTCTTAGCATGACTTCGTAGTGTAGTGGTCAGCACGCTGAGCGCGTATTCTAGAGGCCCGTGGATCGATTTCCGGCGAGGGCGTTGCTTATTTTTCACTTCTCCTGCATCCAAGAAATACCCAGTGTCTCTACAGAGTTTATAACGTACTCTATTTTTAATGTACGACAGCGAAACAATTCAATATTTTCTATACCAGTGTATAATGTAATGTGTGAAAAATTGTCATATTAGTTTCGAATTTTGCCACTCCCTTAGATCTTATAAAAATCACGTTTAACATAATTCAGTACTATGAGAATGCTATTTTACATAAATTACAATCTTTACTCTCTAAATCTAAGATTTACGTAAGTAGCGTAAAAAGTTTAAATTAGTTGAATTTAATTAAAGCAGAGAAAGAGAGGAATTACGAGTGACCTCCAACTTTTTAACTACCTTGTGGATTTTCTAGTTATGTTATGTGTTTGTAGCGGAAATAATGAACAGCGACTATTTAATTAGAATGTTTTAAACTGTAACAGCAAAATCGAGGTTTATAAATTTAATTTATTAATTATAATTTGTGTTTTAATGTCTGAAGTACACTGTTATACTAGACTTTAATATGCTGCTCAGAATGTTGTGGCCACTATTGTGAACTTTATTTAGTACGTAACGCGTATCGTGACGGAATGCAGGCATCATTCGTTTGTTAATGTTTATGAATATTTCAAATTCCATTTGTGTCTAATTGAGTTACTTTAAAAGCGAAGACACGTGAGAACCTCTCATTCACGTCTCATTGACCTCAGCTTGGATGACTCTCGAAAGTCAATTCAACGATTAGAAATACCGCAACAATCGAGCTACACAATGCCAAGGTAAAACTCAAGTCCAGATCCAGAAACTTTACCACCCACATGGTGGCCATTCTAGCCAGTGGTATCTCACCTTTTTGTTTTTCGGGTGGGGGGGATGGGAACTCAACGTTTAATAGAATCACTAATGTCTGTGGCGGAGGTGGTCATAGCGCGGCTCGCGAGCAGTATGCTTCTTCAAATTTATTTATTTATTCGAAAATATTTTTACACTAAGCATTAAAACTTTTCGATTGCTAATTAATATATATATATATATATTATTTTGATACTAAACACTACAATTTTGTTTCCATTCTTGAATTGAAGTGATCTAATACATGACTTAAAACTTAATTGTTTGGCGGTTAACTATTGGGATTCTTTAAGAACTTATAATCCAAGTAAATCGATGTTTTTTTTTTTTTTTTTTTTTTTTTTTAATTATTCATTTTCATTACCCCATAAGTAAAGTTACGATAAAAGTTTATCCTAATCATTTTTATTATTAATAATCAGTTTTAAATTCGTACTTCATTTAATTTCTTTACTTAGCGCACGTTAGGCTTAGCAATAATATTTTGCTCTTGAACACACTTCCGTTTCGAAGCTTTCGAATATCTTGATGTTAAACTAATTTTTATCTTCGTAGTCGACAGCTTAATCTGAAAATACGCTCCCTTCATCCTTGAAAATAAATACTGAGGCTACCTACGCGCTTTGTAGAAGTTACTAATGTTCTCTGTTTTGCAGCATTCTAAAATTATGTCCTATATTTCTGGCAACGATAAACAGGATCTATTTTTAAAATCTCCATATTTCACCCAGTCTATTACAATTGTAATCAACTCGCAATTCGTTTTTCTAATCAAAATTTCTCTTTTTCGATTTCATTCTATATAATTCGTGTGCCAGATGTAGGGTTCTATAGTTAAGCTGTATAGGTATATTCAGAGCTTCAACAAAAATAGTAATTCTATTTTATATCTTTAGATCTTGAGTCGCAGTACCATCCCCGTAATAATTTTTATTACAAATTATGCATTCCAGATAACACATATTAGCGTATTACTAAACTAACACTAAAAACCAAACCTTTAAAATTTATTATATTTATTAAATATAATACTACTAGTTATATATTTATTAATGTATACATTTTTAATGTATTTAACTGATCTTGCATTAATTTTCATCCTTGACAGACAACTGCAGAGGTTTTCGAGTTTCACTCTCTTATTGAGTATATTTTAATTATAATCAGAATTTGAAAAGACGCTCTTTTGAATTACATAAATCATCTTATGCAATTTGAAGGACAAGAATTTTTTACTCAGAAAAACAGAACCGGAACATACTGTTAGTAAACTTCGCATGCATAACATGTTATGCATGTGATGGCTTCACGTGATCGGATATAAATAATAAGATTTTTACGAATATGGAGATAAACGATTTTTGGTTATTGATACGGTAAATAAATTAAAATCAATCAAGTCTTATACATCATTTGATGGTAATTAATTCAAATTTGAAGATAAAGTTATTTTCTCCCTTCTTTCTGCATGCCTTCGTTCTTGAGGGTAACACACTCGGTGCATTCCAGAGGTAAAGGTGCGAGTCCCGGTGAGGGCATTGCTCATTTTTCATGTCTCACATTTCGAAATAACCAAATGACTCTACAGTGACGCCTGAACTAAACAAAGTGGTGGATGATGATTCTTCACCACCAGTATTTGGTGACTGGCTCCCCTAATCCCTAGTCGTCCTTTAAAAGCGGAAGTATATAAAGTATTTTCTCTCTCCTTTCGGCATGCCTTCATGACGTAACGGTATCACACTCAGCGCGTATTCGAGAGGTCCAGGGTCGAGTCCCAGCGAGAGTATTGCTCCTTTTTCATGCACTTCTGCTTCAAAATAACCTAATGACTCTACAACATGTTTATAATTGTGTTCGTACTTGAAGGTCCATATAATCTTGTAAAATTTCTAGAGAATAAGCAAATTTTGAAAATATGATAAAGCATTAAAACATACAAATTAAAGGCAAAACGTTAAAAAGTAAAATTTCTCAATTAAATAAAAAATCGTTATTATATCATTTACCATTAAACTATATCTTTCTTTCACACGTTATTCAGAATCCCACCCTTTTGGCTAGTGAGGAAGATTATACTATTCAAAAGCACACATGCTAACATCAATGATAATTCAACATGAAATATGTAAAATACAGAGAAAACACGTACCTCAAAAAGTAGCTCTGATGTCATAGTTATGAAGCAAACAGCAAGATCTCCAATAGCTAAATTGAGAATGAAGATATTAACTCTTGACGATCTCTTTCGATATCTTGATCGAGATAACACCAGAACTATGATCGTATTACCCACTAAGGTTGCAGTCATGATGATAGCCAACGTCACAACTCGCTGGATAAGTTCTGCATTCCAGACAGCACCTTCAGGGTAGACAGTGACATTATGGTATGGACTAACGATGCCACCACCGTCATAACCGGCGGACAGTGAATTATTGAAGTAATTAATGTTATCTTCAGTAGAAGATGGAATCATAATTAGCGCGGTGATCATAATCCAAGTGGCACTTTTGTAAAGCACACGACCGTTTCCACTCATGTTGGAGGGAGAATAGGCCAGCATGGCATAGTGGAAGCTTCTTGTTGAAAGTTGCACAAAGAAAAATATTGCCTGTTATGATTACTGGCGCATGATGAGGAAATAAACGTTTTCCCACCTTCCAAAATGAATAAAATACGAACAAACCTAAAGAAAGATGTAATTTTTCAGTCTAACTAAATTCATGTTTCGGAAGTTGTTACGTAAATATTTTTTCCTTTATATTTTATGCATTATGCAGCTACATTACCTCTTAAAGCTCTTAAAACGATAACGAAATCTATCCTTGTGCAAAGGGAGCACGTATGAACAGAGAGATTCAGAACTATTCCGAATAGCCTTAAATTTTCTACTAGTTTAAAAAATTGCTTCTTAGAGGAAACAATAAATTGAAATACTAGAATAATAGTAATAATACGATACTAATCCTTAACGTGGAAAAAGAGTATTGCTATTTGTAGCACTAAAGGTCTATTAGTAAATACTGTGCTATTAAAGAATAGACTGGACCCTTAATTACATAGCATTATAATTCAAAACGTATCCAGTCTATTTATCCCCTTCATAAAATATAGCCACCCAGATTAATAATTTTTTTTTGTTTAATTTATGGCAGAAAATACTATTTTACAATGCCATGAACTCTGTGGAGATCTTTTATCGTCATACTCGTTAAGTATTTTTATTGAATAGCAGTGATAGTTCTTATTATGCAAATTATATATAACTCTGTCTTATACCGAATGTTTGTTTTATGCATTTAGTTTCATCTTTTAAAAATATGGAGATTTTTAACACCTCAGGTATAGTTTATCTTTGTATCAAAATCTTTGAAAGCGTTTTCACTGAACGCTCACTGACTCAAAATGGTATTTTATATATACCTGCACAATATCTTTTACTCACTCAAGCTTCATAATATCCATAAAAGTCTATCTAGCGAAATAAATATAAACCTCGCAAAAATTGCTCATTCTCTAACATGCTTCCAATTTTTCAGTCGTTAACAATATAACACATATCACTCCAAATATATTTTCTGACTTGTAAATATACTTGAATTGTCCTATATACAAGGATTTAATAAATTGACTTAAGTATCAATGATGACTTTTACGATAATTAAAGATTCATCCATCACATTTAAATAATTATGATATGTGATCCTCATCGGAGAGCTTTGGAAAGTAGTAATAGCACTATACATCAAAATTTAAAATGCTATATGACAGGATAAAGTTCAGGAGATAGTTCAAGCAGAACATGAGAGCTAAAGTGATCTAGAATATTTAATCAACCAAACAATCAGATTTTCTAATCCGTGTTTCATTCAGGAAACTTAAGTTGTGATTTATGAGATTCTTAAGATTTATCATGATGAATTAGTTATTCATTTTCTTTTGTTCTTTGTCTTCAGTTTATTATTGTTTATAACTGATCATTCAGCACACAGCAAATTTTATTATCTCGTACGGCGGAGCTGTTATTTTTGGCATAAAAGTAGTTTACACAGAATTAATAATTTCTTGTGAATTTTCTTCAGGTTTTCATTATTTCTGTATACAGTTCTTGCTAATTAAATAGGAAAAAACTAATTCTGTTACTTTTAAAAAGTTTACTTGAAGACATAAAGATCATTAAAATGATGTATTTCTTTATTTTCTAATGAATGAAACAAGTAAAGTTATTTTTGCTAAAAACTGAGATTTGCAGATACGTGGTTGATCATAATTTCACAAATATGCTGTTTCAATAAATTCTTTCTTGTTTTGCAGGAACACAGAGAAGGATTCAGCAGCAAATAAAATACTGCAGATTTACTGGATGCAATAATTTTTAGAATTACAAGAAAAACATGCTCATGAATTACATGTCTGTAGGTAACTGCAACAATATCAGTCTTGAGAAGGCAGCAAAAATTAGCTTGAAGCCAATCTTTTGTTCTTTGATTTTTTCAAGCATCAAATTTGGTTGACATTTAGTCCTATCAAAAATTAACTTGCAGATGTTTTGTCACGTGTTGGATCTCTGAAAAAAATAAAGAAAGTAATTAGTTCATAATTCGGTCATTTTAAATAAAACATTCAAAAACAACATAGTTAAACAGTTCAGATTGCTCAGAGACTGAATAAATAAAAATATTCTGATTTACAATCAGTATTTATAAAATTGAAATATAAGAAAAAATTGAAAAGATTTGGATATATATTTTATTTGGATACATTACTTCGATCAAATGAAGTGTGATTTAAATGAGGATCTTTAAAAAATAAACTGTTGCTTGACATAGGTATAAACATAAATTAATTAAAGATAAACAATGACATTTTGAAAAGGGTTACAATATTCTATCAAAACCGAGTGTTTTAGAATGTAAAAGAAAATTCAAATTTACAAATAAAAGCAAAAGTAATTAGAAAAAGTCTGGAAAGCTTTCAGATTTTTCTATTACTCCAAAGCCGAGGTTTTTACCTTTATTTATTTAAATATCATGTCTTCGCACTTAAGCTACATAATATTCAACAAAGAGGAGTTCCAGGTACCCGAAATACGATATCCAAATTTCTAATTACGTGGATTGTTTACTATTTGTACGTTCTCCGAAATTAATTTCTTTTTTATACGATTCCTGTTTTTCCTTTGACTAAATTTCTTAATAAGGAAATTGGACTCCTTTAAAAATATAATTTACATATTTTATATGCAGAAACCTTTATATGAAGGTATGATATTTTACAGTACATACATTAAAAAAAAAATTTAATTTAATCTAGAATAACCTTTTTAACACAGAGCCATACCCTTTTTGGGCGAGTCAAGCAATTGACTGTAATGGGGCGCAAATACGTCATTAATAAGGGTTTGAAAAGTAATAAAATAGTTAGGAGAAATATTATGAGATTAGTTAGAGATATTAAAATCTAATCGCTTGGCTCTGATATTGTATAGGTGGACTTCAATCAAAGTATTCATCTGAGTTTCTTTATTAAAATTAGAAATGTTTTCAAACTATAAAGCGCCAAAAAGGTGCCAACATGTATTTTAGTGTTTTATTATTAACGGGAATTAAAGAAACATTTTCTTACCATACTTTTAATTGAAGAGAAATAGATTATACTTATGTCTTTCATTTTGGGAATCTACGCAATTAAAACTTAATTTCATTTCTTTATTTTTAATCAAATGAAAATTGGCTGCACTTACGAAAACAAAAGTAATTCCACTATTTATATTTCTAGGAAATTCATATTGTATTACGGGCGAAAAGTAATTTCATTTTTGAAGTGCACAATTTTGCAGCTTTCTTTAAAATTAAAAAATACAAAACTCTATTTATTACATTAAAAGAAATATTTGTTTCTCCTATAGTGACAGGTAACGCAGTTATCCGGAGTTTTCAAATACTTCGATTAACATTTCAGGTATCAGCTTTCCACTTAAGTAAATTTCTGACAGAAATGTATTTGTCTGTTTGTATGGCAAAGAAAATGAGGTGTCTGTCTAAATAAAAACAACTCCATGAATTATATTTTCTCTTAAAAACAGTTTTTTTCTGCTAGAAAGTGGCAAAGACGTCACTTTAATGAATCCATAGTATGCAGATTTCCAAGTTATCACAACGAAATGTTTAAATTCCTTTGTGAAAGATTCCTTTCGTAATTTTCGTAAGCTTTTTAAACAGAGTTGCAGAAATTAATATCTTTTTATTGTCCATTTCTGCAAATGATACATCAAAGCAAAACTAGATGTGATTATGTCAGATAATTTAATCAGACGTAATTAGACGGTTAGATGTAATTTTTAAATTTCTAATAACAAAATAAAGTATCTTGTTTGGAGAAGCAAAATACATTCATTTAAATAAACATATTATTTCGGATAAAGATTTTCGGTGTGGCCTAAATATTCATTTCGATTTATAGTAATTTTCATTCTATTTATAAAAGTTTCTAGAATGTTAAAATGGAGTTTTAAATTCAATTTCTTCATAAAATGAAGAGTAACTTGTACTTTTGGACACGAATTAATATTAATTTACGCTCTTTTGTTGCAAGTCAGACTTTAACGTCATTCATAAATAACTATTGATGAATCGTGTTTTCCTTATTTTTATATTGTTTTGGATTAAATAATTAATATTACTAGCTATTAAAAAATTTAATACGATAATTATATGCCCTTAATCTCTAAAATAAGAAATATTTTCGCATGGCAGTTTTCATGGTTTTCTTAATATCTAAAGTGAATACCAGCCAGTTTCTCTTAAAATGTCCTCCACAAAGGCATTCCTAGTCGTAGGTAGGCAGCCTTTGTGGGTTTTTCCATATTCAAATAACCTAACCCAAACTAAGAAATATTTTTCCTCTAACTAAATTTCTTAATAAGGAAATTGGGTTACTTTAAAAATATAATTTCGCTATTTTATATGCAGAAACCTTTATAATTTACTGAAAGAAAAGATCTAATGTGATAAATTTTATAAATAATCTCATAAGTTTACCAAAAAAGGAGAAAGTGAAAAAGTTTTGCGTTGTAAAGTCCTATGCCGTTTGTAAAATTATAATAATTAAAAATTTTATTTTCTATAACTAGAACCTGGTTACGGAAGCATTGCATCATTTGTAATATAACTCAAAGTACCGCGCATGGAAATAACTAATTATTCTGTGAAACTAATTTTGAAAAGCAGCTGAGTACTATGCAAAGTACTGAAATAAAATGCATAAAATAAATTGCTTTTTAACACTACCTTATTTTACATACCTTTTATTATTAAAAACAATAGTAACTGAATTATATTTACCACATAAAACTGACTCCCTAAATTAAAATTTCCAAGCAGTGAGACAAAAATGAAGGTAAACATTTGCTGATGCTCTTGCTTCGGAACTTTTGGTAATACAAATAAAAAGTGAAACGATTTTTAATTCATTATTTCTTTTTGTTCATTGTTTTAAATTACTCTTCGGAAGTCCTCCATAAACATTTAACAATGAATCGGGAGGGAAAGATCCGCACGCAAAAATGCCTTGCATTAAAGAATAACGTAAGCAAGGTCAAGAAAAGTCAGGGTGGGGGAATGACTGAGAAATTCTTGTATTAAATGTTTGCTGTTACGTGTATGTGACATATTCACATCCACATCCCAATGTGATATCTCTTTCAAGTTAATTTCATTTCTTCATTGGGACGTCACTGTAACGTCACAGCAACTAAATGTGCTATAATAGGTCTGAACAGTAATTCTAGACGTATTTTGATCTGGAGAGAGACAGGAACAGGCAACTTGCCTTCCCTTGCACCTGAAATATACAGTTTCCGCGACCGCAGTTTAATGGTTTGGAATGGAAGAATCATGACAAATAACCGCACTGAGGCGCTTATCTTTCAAAGAGAATCTGTAACCGTTCGGAGATATGTGAACGAGGTACTGGAACTCCAAGTTATTTTGCTTAGCGCTGCTGTTGGCTCAGAGATTTTGCTAGTGGATGACAATACTCGGCTTACCGGGTATAGGTGGCGTTAGAATACTCGCAAACAGAAGCTATCACTCGCATGGATTGGTCACTTTACTCACCCGACTTGAACCCGATTGAGTATGTGTGGGATGTCTTAGGTTGCGGCATTTCAGCTCGTCTTAGGTTGCGGCATTTCAGCTCGTCGAGTCTCACAACGGACACTCCAGGAGCTAAAAAGTGCAGCTTTAAACGAGTGGCGTGTATTTCTATAAGACTTGATCAACACTTTGGTACGGTCTATGAAATCAAGATGTGAAGTATGTACCGTGCATGCAAATAGAAATAGGTATGTACCGTGCATATGTCCTAGGTGACCATACACCATATTAAAGAATTTTTTTTCCTCAAGAGGGGACTTAATTTTCCATTATTTTCTAATTTCCATAAATTTGGTTTTTAATTTCAATACTTTGCGAATAATCAACAGCCAAACATTGTAATTTAGGTTAACTAATGCTTTTGTACAAATTTCTATTGATAATTTTTTTTATTAAGAATTAGTTACGTTTCATTTCTGTCATCATCGTTTAATTTGTATGACCAGTGGACTTGTAAATGTTAAGTTATTTAACATAAGAAAGCAGTTACAGATGTAGAAACTCACCCTTTATTCTACATTTTGTTTTTGTAAGAGAACAGAGTGAATGATTACAAATGATTTGTGATATATTATTGTATTTGACAAATTAATTTACTATGAGTTCTGGGAAATTAAAACTGCTACGTTACAAATGCTTACTTCTGATCATTTAGTCGAGATATATAATCTTAGTATGAATAAGAAAACTCAATAAAACATTTTCTTTTAATATCAGATACTTATAAGAAATATACTTGTAAAACTAATTCAAATTTGTTTGGAACCCATATCTTCCTCGCATTCCCTGCAGAAGCCCTTAAGCGAATTGCTAAGCAGAAAAATCATTTACGGATAAATATACGGCTCGAAATTTCGTTCTTATGAGACAGAGCTAAGAATAGATGGCAAGATAACGACGACGTATGGCTTCAAATACATTAGCGTTCTCAGGAAGTTTCTAAGAGCTTTCTTGCGAATGATACAGCCCTTTTCTCTGAAGTAAGTAAGACTGCATTTAAAAGAATTTTATAGTTGCTACAAAACTTCCGTATAATTTACAGCAGAGAAGATAGATAACAGAATTAAAGTTATTGCATCATAAAATACGCGGTAATGCTCGGAAGAAAAATTTTTGCATGTACCTTTATTAACATTCCGGCATATACTAAAAACCGTGCGAGTTTTAGAGTTCATTTATATAAATATAACAGTAAATTTACATAAATAGTATTTGTGCTGTACATTTATTGTATTAAATATTGTACTGTACGGTTTTCCTTATTTTGCATAACAAATTTATTTTAAGTTTTCCTGTTCTCAACTTCCCCTCACATTCTCTCGCCAGGATGTAAATTTAATGTTAAGTGAAGTGCTATTTAAACGTATGATTATCTCAGTTTATTCACAGCGTGTTTCGCTAGCCAAG